CATGAGACATGAACTCCCCTGCCTGCAGCGGCATGGGCTCCACAGAGCTAATGGCAGTAAAATGACTTGGTTTTGACTGGGAGTCCTGCAGGGAGCGGAGCGAGGGAGAGAAATGGGCCGTTTCCTTCCTTATTTATTTATTCCCCCCTCCCCGAAGGAGCTTTTTCATTGCTGAGAAATCCCTGTGTCGCGAGGCAGGTCTGGGGGGCTCCAGCGAAGAGCCCCCTGCGCTGTGCAGCCGTGATGGGCCAGGTCTCTTAGGGACTGTCGGTGTGATTTGGGGGTCCCTCTGGGTTGTCCGTTCCCAGCGCTGTGACAGCACCAGGCTGGGGACTGGAAATTTTGGGAAGAAAATGCATGCAATGCGTGCTTGTGTGTGTGGCTCCGGCTGCCTCTCCTGGAGATACACCAGCCCCGGGGGGGTGACCGGGATCGCTTGCCTTGGCTCCAAAGCCCTGGGGTGCAGACCCCCGTGGTGGGACGGGCTGCCCAGCTCCAGGGCCGCGTGTCCCAGCGCCTGCGAGCATCTCTGAGCTCTGTGGGATGTGGCGAGCACAGATTATGTCTTGCTGCAATCCCGGCCGGATGCATGGAAGGAGCTGTGGAAGGAGCCGCAGAGGTGAAGCCCGGGACGGTTACTCTCTGCCTCTGGACGCGATCCCTCCTCTGGGCACTGGAGATGGTTTTGCAGCAGGAGCTCTGCGCGGCGCAGGGGGGATTTTTAATCAGCGTTTGATTCTCCCGCCCAGCTGAGCCCCCCATCAAGGGGCCTTTGGGGATGGCGATGATGGCGATGCCGGTGCTGGCCGGTGGCTTGGCCACCGCTAGAGGGGGGCAAGATGCCACCGTGCAGGACCGGCCCCGTGTCCTGGGGTGCTGGTGACCCGCAGGGCAGGGGCACAGCCCGGGAGCCCAGTGCTGCCCGTCACCCCCTTGGCTAGCCCTGTCCCGGGGTGGCAGCAGCCCCAGCACTCACTTCTGCGGCTCCCGACCCTCGTTAGGTCAGTTTGGCTCAGGCTGGGCAATGACCTGTGCCGGGGCTCTGGAGATCTGCTCGGTTTGATCCGTCCTTACACTGCTTTCCAGATCGCAGATCCGGCTGCGGCATGGCCGGGATGAGGGTGGCGGAAAGGCTCGATGCTCACCCGCGATGGGCTCGTGGGCAGCGCGAGGAACCAGTGTTGCTCCGTCCTTTGGAGCTATGATAAGTGCTGCGCTGGGCATTCATTCCTCCCCGTTTATCACCACCCTCGCGGGTGAGCGCCTGCACCCAACTTGTTCCAAATCTGCGAGTATTTCTCTCCCCGGGGTGGTGGTGGCCCTGCGGAGGGGGCAGGAGGGCGGCTCCATCCCCTCGCTGCCCGTAGCCTGTGGGTAAGGCTGTTCCCCGTGCCGTGAGCACCTGCTGAAGGCAGGCATCTCTTCCAGATGTGCACCTCCCTCCAGACGTGCGTTTCTCTCCAGATGTGCAGGACCAGCCTCATGGGGGGAGGGCTGCTTTGGGGAGGTGCAGGAGCTCCCTGGGGAGCAGAGGCTGGACCCACACCATGGAGGAAGGATGGGTTTCCCTCCTTCTCGCTCTCGAGCTTTACCGTCGGGGTTCCTGCCTGCTCGCCACCCCCCGGGCAGCACCCCAGGGCTGGGCGCACCCCCGGCAGGGGTGGGACCAAAATTTGGGCTGTGTGGGGAACAGTGGTTTGTGTGGGGCCGTGGGGATGCTCGGGGCAAGTGGAGGGTGATGGGGGGGAAGGGGATGCTCGTCTCCTGCCCCTTCCGACGAGCGCTCGGGCCGCTTGCAGCGCAGGCTCATCGGGTAATTCAGGCTGCATCTCCCCTAATGATTCAGTGAGGGATTCAAACCAGCTCCCCCCTCCCCTCCCCATTATTTGCGCTTTCTTCTTGCCTGCCGTGATATTTTTACCTTCAGTTCGTTCAGATTATATGATCAAAGGAGGCACAAAGGGGAGAGAACAGAGAGGAAAAAGCTTAAAAGAAGAAAGGGAGAGGCTGTGGGCTCTGGGGGCACTGCCAGCTCCGTGGGAGCTGCCGTGGGCTCGCAGCGTTTTCCTGGGAGCGGGTCCACGTGGTGACCCATCGCACCTTCTCCGACGGCCAGAAATGTCACGGCTCCTGGGGTAGGATGCAAGAGATGACCTGATTTCAGCTGGCGTGGGGGAAGCGCTGTGTTTGAGCATCTCTGGGTCTCCCCATCATCTGCTTCCTCACCACGGGGAGAGCCTGACCCGCTTCCAGGCAGTCGCAGGAGCTGTTTTCCCCCTGCTCCGCTGCCAACGCATGGGATGGTTCTTGCAAAGGAGACGGGGACCATGCGGAGGGTTGATCCCTGCCCTTGATCCCCACATCCGAGCGGGGCCGCGCTGGCGGGGGCTCTGCCGGCGGCGGGGC